TACCACATAGCCTAAGGCTCACAACCCGCTGAATACTCTTTTAAAGCTCAATCAGGTCAAAACTCTAGCCCGCGATGCCTTTTCTCGCACGAATCGATCTCCAGATGCTCCAAATCTAGCCACAATCAGTACATAACCATTAAAATATGCTAAGGGAACAAAGCCCACTCGAAAATATCCAATTTACATCAAAAATCCCGAAATTGCTCAAACCTGGCCCCCGGGCCCATGTCCTGGAACTCGATAAAATTAACATCAATGGAATCCTCATCCTCTCACGAGTTCATACATATCAAGAACATCAAAATCGGATCTCAAATGGCCCCTTAAATCCCCACTCAATGATCTCTTAATCCCAAGCCCTAATCTCTCAATTTCTTCCTTAATTTCCACTAATGCCATGATTAAACAATGGAAAAATGTTCATAAACATGAGTAATGAGGCTTAGGGAACTTACCCAACTGTTTCTCTTCGGTTCTCCCTTGAATTCACTGCCCTAGCTCGCTTCCCGTCTTCAAAAATGAAGAATCAAGAAGGAACATTATATACTTTCTTGCCCAGGTATTTCCACACCTGCGATACCATAAGCGCACTTGCGCTTCCACTTCTGCTAAAAAAGACCCGCATCTACGGTTTTCACTTACTCCTTCAAGTTCTGCATCTGCGACCCAGGTACCGCACCTGCGGTTCCGCAGATGTAGTCAAAGTCTCCGCTTCTGCGGCCCGCACCGCTTCTGCGGTCTCCTTTATGCACCAGCGGTGTCGCACCTGCGGTCACCAATCCGCAGGTGCGGAAACAACAGAGGCAACAAATTTTCTGCTGCAAAACTTCAAGTCCGACTTCCTGATAACTATCCGAAACTATCCCGAGGCCCCCGAGACCTCAATCAGAAGCACAAACATATCCCATAACCTTATTTGAACTGGTACCAATCTTCAAAACACTTTAAACAACATCAAAAACACAAAGACACATCGAATTCAAGCCTAAGGTTCTAAAATCCTTCGCATTCCGCTTTTGGTCAAAAAGTATACCAAAGCACGTCCGAATGACCTAAAATTTTGCACACACACACCCCAAATCACATAACGAAGCTACTACCACTCTCGGAATTCCATTCCGACCCTTTTATCAAAATCTCGCCTACCAACCGGAAATCGCCAAAATCTCAATTTCGCCAATTCAAGCCTAATCCTTCCACGGACTTTCAAAATGCATTCCGATCACGCTCCTATGTCCCAAATCACCTAACGGAGCTAACCATATCATAAAAATGCCGATCCGAGATCATACACAGGCAAGTCAAATCTTGGTCAAACCTTTTCAAATTTCAAGCTTCAAACTGAGAACTGTTCTTCCCATTTCATTCCGATTACCCTGAAAACCAAAACCAACGATTACATGAGTCATAATAAACCACACGGGGCAAGTCATGCCCGGGAAGTGACGAACAAAGTGCTAAAACTCAAAACGACCGGTCGGGTCGTTACACTATTACAATTCCCATATGATTGATGAACCAGTGAACACCTGCCTCTTTTGGACATTGTTTATCCATCAAAGCTGGGCCTCTCACTTGAACAACACTAGATTTCAGCAGGTTTGAACAGTAAAAGTTTCAGATTCTTTAGCCTTTGGACCTACTGATTTGGCCAACTAGTGACCAAATCTGTAGGTATTGGCTCATGGTTTGCAAATAAACCCCAAATAACCTCAAGCTAACAATCAGTCCACTTATTAGCATAAGGAAAAGGGGCAGAGATGACTTAAACACAGTTGTTAATCAGAAAAGCAGAAGAAATACTGAAGAATCATCTTTAAAAACAAAATACCTTCAGGAGAGAAACCAAGCATCAATGTGTATACCAAAAACTAACCAAACCAGATTATTTCATGCTTAACATTCAAAATAGTAAAAGAAGAAACCAACCAACTTCATCTCAACACAATCAAACAACAAATATACAATTTTGCGAACTTAATTTATATTAGCCTTGTAACAGAACATACAGGGAGAATGGTTAAGCTTAGTACCTTGAACAACAGCAACCAAAAACTACCAAATATGAGATGAAAGGGAACTGGCTGAACTTCAGAAGAAAGGAACAACAGCAATAAACCAACACAGTAACAGCAAATCAAATAGACCAAAAATTTAAACCAACTCCAAAACAACTTTGAAACCAAAAATTCCAGCTAACGAACCCAAGAAAGATCCTCTACTTCAAACCATATTTTTCAGCTTGTAAAAAATCAGAAATAAGAAGTTTTGAATGTTTTCAAGAGTTTCTGAAATCTAATCTTTTCAGAGAAGAAGTGAGAACTTTTTGTGCAGTAAAATGATGTTGATTTCTCTGTGAGTGAAAGAAAATGCACTACTTATAGGCCTAAAAGTCCATGTGCTAAAAAACAAACCAACGAAATATTCCCTTGAGCCTGAAAAGGCATCTTTTAACCACCTGGGACAACTGGCTGTCCCTTATTGGCGCAGCTTATTTGTGCTAACCAAATAGGGACAGCTGCCCCAGGTTCTAGAAACTTTTAATTTTTAGCCTTTGTAAAAGTCCATTTTTACCCTTTTAATTACTGACTATTTTAGCTTTGTCCTAAGTTTCTTTTAATTCAAATAAGCCCCTACAAGTTCCTAGTGAATTACAAAGCAAGGCAAACAAAGACAAGACCAGAAGGGACCAAAAACCCAAATCAAAATGCCAAACTGAATCATGATGCTGCAATTTAAACCTCAAGACTAAATCAATCATCGTTTATCTCATTAACCTAAGCAAAAACTGGATTTAACGACTAATACACCTAAACAGTAATCAAAACAAGATAAAAAATGCAACTGCAAAGAAGACCTAGAATTTAACCTACATCAGTTTGCAAACTTAAACAATTAAAACAACCAATTTTGACAGTTAAACAAACAGACTAAATAACTTGTTAATTAACCTAAAACAAAACTGAACAGAATAGACGAATTATAAGAAAACTAAACTTAATCATTCCAATCTAACAATCTAGACCTAGGCAACATTGAATTTCTAACATGCAATTAACGAAGCTAATAGACAGAAAAGAAGACCTAAATTATGCGGCTAAATCAGAAGCAATTATCATGAAGGGGAATCAACAAAAGGCAAAAGAAAACTAAAGAAATAGTAAAAGAAAATACCTATTGCTCATTTTCTTTCAACCATAACACTGGCCTAACTCGGAATTCTGACCCAAATCTTTGGGGTAAATATGAACTTTAGACAACCATCAATCGACTGCTCTTATCAAGAGCAATGGATTCATGGAAGTCTTTAGGTTCAAAGGCCCCCCAAAAAATGCCGGAAGTTTAGAAGTGAAAGAATGTTAGGGTTCTCAGGACCTCAGATTCAAAATTCGAGGAGATTGAGGTTGATTCGAAGAGGATTAATGGTGGTCTAGGGTTCAGAGGGGTGCAAGGATTATAGGTTGTGAATTTGGGGCGATTTGGGTAAACTAGGGTTTTGGGGATTCTGATTTCGATCTAATATTCGAAGCTTTTGGTAGGGATTCGAAGAAAACCATTTGGGGATTCAGAATGAGGAGAGGATGGGGATTTCGGGGTGTTGATTTGGTGGTGTTTGGAGGTGGTCCGCCGCCATGAGGCGATTTCCGGTCGGCAGACCACGGCGGAGACGACGAGGGTAAGATGGGGCGGCTAGGGTTTCTCCTCTAGGAGGGTGAGAGAATAGAAATGAACTAAGTTTAGGGGTTTGGGGGGGGGGGGACTAGTTTTAGGACAGTTATATGGTAATTAAGAGGTTAGTTCCAAGTCGTTTGATCAAATGAATCCAACGGCTGTGATTGAAAGAACAAAAAACGGCATCGTTTCATCTTATCAGGGGTGGACCGGGTAGGCTGGTGGTTTGGGCTTGGACTTTGGTAAATTTGGAACAGGTTTGGCATTAAAATTAGCCCAAAAATTCAAAATTAAGCCTTTTGTTCAATTACCCAATTCTTTCCTTTTCTTTTGTTTTTCTTTTTCTTTTTCTTTAATTAAAATCCTAAATTAATCTAAATATTAAAACTAACCAATTGCCTAAGAATTTAAAAAGATTCCTTGATCCTAAATCAAAAAAGAAAAATCGATAATCTAGCAATTAAAAGGTAAAAATGTAAAATGGGATATTTTTTGTGATTTTCAATTTTAATAACACAAATGATTAACTAATTAATCCTAAAAATATAAAACACAACCTAATGCAATGCATGGTATTTGTTGACATATTTCATGGTTTTAATAAAAATTAAACGTGCACAAAAATGCAAATAATTAATAAGATCCTACAAAAATCCTACAAAATGGCAAATAATTGGAAAAAATCTATTTTCTTGAATTTTATAGGATTAATCCGTATAGGGAAAAATCATCGTGCTCACATCAGACATTTGTTGTTTCAGCCTTGGACCTCCTTTTAAATTCAGATTCCGACTCTACAATCTCCCTCGAGGGGTCAACAACTCCTGTGTTCACGTCTTTGCTAGGTATGGCTACCTTGCTCTTTGACCTTGTGCTGTATGGATGAATCGCCAAAGTGCCACAAACTAACCACCCTCTGTTATGATAACAATGAAAGTAACAAAAAGGAGCAAAACAAAGCCAAAATGTTAGCGTTAGGGCATTTATCAGATAGAAATATCACATTGCGTGCAATGCACCTAGCAACAATTAATGGTTCTAGAATGGCTTCGAGGGTCACAAGGTCATTTGGCATCATCCCAATTTTGTTCATTTCAATCTTCTCTTTTCTTTCTTTTGTAGTACTTCTTGGCTTGGTCATTTTCCTTCTTGTCTTTTCTTTCTAATTGTCACTATTTTCTTTCTCTCATCCCTCACGTCCCACAACTTCATTCTCTCTTTCTTTTAATGATTATTCGATCGAACCCTATGTAGGTTGCCTACGTATCATGTCCCTCATGAATTAGATCAAGCGTAGTTGTGAAAAAGTAATGGACAAAATAAACTAAAAACATAAATCTTTTGGATTTTTCATTTAATTTTTTTTGGTTTTCAAATACATCATAGGAAGTATGATAATGAGATACTTGACAAACTCAACTATACTACGACAGACTATGACACCAACTAATAGACTAAATTTTACTGGACAAGACTAGAAAGTAAAACACGAACAACAGACTAAAAAAACATAAAAAGTCTCCTCAAGCATCTCCTGTTTGCAATGGTCCTGAATGGTCTTGGGGTATCTATCATGCTCGAGTCCTGGTAAATGAATCCACACCTGAATGAGAAAAATAAGACCAAATAGATCAGTGACTCAAGACACTAAGCAACACCACAACACCACCTATTGGATACATGCAACACACGATTGGGCTATTTTTTAAAATTAACCTACATGGCCAAAAGTGGCTAAAAGTACAAACTCAACAGAGTGACTACTCAGATATGGAAATACCTCACTAAGGCTTATATGGATTCACACTCCCAATAATCATAGACCAAAATTAATTTGCAGAAATGACTCATTTTGCAAAAAACGGCCGATATGGCCAGAAGTGGCTAAAGATGAAAACTCGAAAAGGACCGACCTTAAAATAATACGACACCTAGTTGTGGACTCAAGATCCTAAGACATGGGTAATTGACCACTTTTGCGAAAATAACCCCATTTTGCAAGAATGGCCGATGTGGCCAAAAGTGACTAGACATGCAAGATTTGGCTAAGACCCCGCGAAGCCATGAAGCTAAGACTTACAAGGAAGGCCGGACCATATGTGGGCTGCCTATGTATCCTGCCCCGAAAGACGAGAATCGAGTATGCATAGTTCGGGAAGATTGGATACAGGATAGACTTTAAAAAAAACACTGATTTGAAGAAAACATATTTTGTCTTTTTTTTTTTGAAAAATGATGAAACATGTAAAATCTTTTTGGATTTTTTTTTCTCTTTTTTTTCAGTTTTTGGAAAATAATGGGAAAGTGCAAAATCTTTTTGGATTTTTCATTTTCATTTCTCTTTGTCTTTTCCTTGAAAAAGTTGTGAAAGAAAAGTATAACTGGGCCCTACTTGCTTCATTTTCACCCTTGTTTCTCAAACATCAGTCGGCCAAATGACCTTTTTACCCTCAAAGATGCAACATATATCACATAGGGATGATTGAATGTCTTTTTGGGCCACCAGCCTATTTTTGACAAAATTTGGATAGGCTTCCTACAATGGAACACGGTGCCTGGGACCGAGCCCTACTAGGTCCAAATGACATGATACAAATAAGAATGACCTAAAGACTGACCTAAGTTTGGGTTTCACTAACAAGGCAATTCGGGGGAGCGTATGGTCGATGGTGGCTGCTCAAGCTTTCCACCCACTCCATACGTCCGACGGCCTCCCCTCTTAAAATAAGGGTGACTCAACAAAAAATCCGTGTACCCGACACGTACTCCGAGAATTGTTGCAGAAAGAATTGACTCAGGGTGATGCATATGATGACAGTTAAAAAGCAGTAACATATAAAGGAAAAATCGTAAACACACAAAACAACTAACAAATAAAGCGACATAAACAAAAATAAAAATCAAATAAAGCAAATAAAGAAAACATAAAAACCTCAAGCGAATATCCTAAAAGCCAACAAGATCAAGTATCAGCTCGAACCTGCAACTCCCCAGCAGAGTCGCCAGAGCTGTCACACCCCTTTTTTCACCCCACTAACCCTCTTACAAACAATAAAAGGATTTTTGAAGCTAAAAAGGATTTTCCAATTAGAAAGTGACAAAATTGTGTTCAAAAGGGTTTTTCAGAGTCGCCACCTGACATTGGTTTCAGTGTGCATGGTCACCATTTTTTTTAAAAATGACCTTTCCTTTTAAAACACTTTGGACTCCAAAACTAAGTCTACACCAGAGATTCGAGTAAGGGGGTTCATTTGACTCGGGGAGAAGGTGTTAGGCATTCCCCGAGTCCCGTTACTAGTATGGTTGGGTACTCGATCTAGTTGGCTTTTAAAACATTCAAATTGAGGTAAATCACAAAAAAGAAAAATAAACACAAAAGAGGCTTGAGGTCGTCCCCACCTAAATAAAAGAAAAAAGAAAATAAAAATAAAATAAAAATACTACAAGTTCTATTTTCGGCCTCCGAATACAAATATTACGGGACATACCCCGAATAAATATATACAAAGTCTACGGGGCATTCCCCGGATAAATTTATCTAAGGGAACGACCTCTCGCCTGAAAACTAACAAGAATCCTAAGGTTTGCCTATCCGAATGATGGCGACCTAATCATGCTACTAACGGGTGATATAATAATAAAAGTAATAGATAATAAATGAATAAACAAAAGAGAACTAACTAAGAGAAAAATTCAACTCATGCTCAAATTCAATTGATTCTATTTAATCCAACCCCATGTCCCATTTCCAGCAAAATTCTTTCATGTCTTCATTCTCAAATGTATAGAACATATCTTATGAAACAAAAACATAATTCAGTGAAGCTAACCAAGATAAAAAGCATAACACATTAATTCAACCATCCGAGGAACAAATCAAACAAAGTAAAGCTAACCAAGATTGAAGTCATAGCATGTTCAAACTCACGGATTAATAAACGGGGTGAAAAGAGATGGACCTGAAAAATGATCTTGCAATTAATATAATTTTGGCAGTCCACTGACAGAATACGCAGCTACGAATGGAATTCAAAGTAGCAAATCCAACTCGAACAAAACCAATGGACCGCACCCCGGACGGCAACTCCAACAATCGAACACCTATTTCAACTCCGTTTCATTTCGGAAACCAAAATCAAAAGAACAACCTAAATTTTCATTATGTATTTTGAATTTGGAATAAAAAATGATACTAAAGTCAACTGAAAATAAAAAATAAAAGTCAGAATAAAAAGCTTAAACTCCCATTTTTGTTTATTTCTTTTCTGCCCAGATTTTCCTTTTTTTGTCTGTTCTTGTGTGTTGTGTGTCAGCGCCGGCGACAGCCACTGATCTGCCAATTCCGGCGTCAGGCAAGGAGACGAGGGGTGGTCGCCGCTTTTCAGGTCTTTGGAGATCCGGCGGAGGTGGGGCTGTGAGGGACGATGACGGGCTGGTGAGGGAGATGGGGTGAGAGTCGGCTGTTTTCGAAGTTCAGCGGTGGTCTGGTTGGTTTCCGGCGGGTTTTAAGGCGTTAGGGCTGGCGTTTGGATTCCGGCGAGCTGCTGAGAATGTGGTCTTCGGGTGTGACAACGGAGGGGGGGGAGGCCGGCGGAAGTTGCTGGGCTTGGAGTGGTGGTCGGGGTGACTGGTGTTGGTGATTCTCTGGAGGAGGGCAGCGGCACGGGGGGTTATGGGGTGGGTGGTTGTGGTCTTTTTGTTTTTTTGGGAGATTAGGGTTAGCTCTTGTGTGTAGATGAAGAAGAAGAGTCGTCTTCAAGGGTTGTCCGTTTTTGTTTTTTTTTTGTTTTTTTTTTTCTGTGTGTGTAAGAATTGGTTAAGGATTAGGTCATTTTTAGGGAAGTGAGGGGTATGGGACAAGGGAAAATTCCGAAAATGGGCCTAAAATTGGACTTATCAAAACACAAAATTGGCCCAAAATTCATTCTTCTTCATTGAATAAGATTAAAAATGAAATTAGATTAAAATCATTACAAAATTAAAATAATATTTCTACCAAACTACTAATATTCCTTAAAACAAAGTAGAACTATTTTTGTAATTTGAAATTTTATGAAAGGTAAATAAACGAAAAGTAACAAGATAAAATATCAATTACCTAAATAAAAGAAAATATTTTTCTAATTTTTATTTTTGTGACAAAATAAAGTAAAAGAGTCAAAACTAGTTAAAATAGCGATATTAGGCCTAAACTAAATATTTAAATGCTAAAATATGTAAAATCTTGGGGAGGGTCAAAAATTACATGTCTACACTTACAATCCCAAAATCGGTAGAACAAGTCATAAGCTCTACTAAGGTTGCTAAAAAATCCCTAAATACAATTGTTCTGGAAGACAGTGGCAGACCCACTTGGTGTCAAGTGGCGTCAGTTGAACCCGCTTCGCTGAAAAATTACCCTGCGTATATTAGTAAATTACATTTGAAACAGCGAACATAGTATAGAAATATAAATTTGAACCCACTTTAACGAAGTGCACTGTCTGTTGAGATGGTAAAAGGGGTTCATGTAAGTAAGGCTAATTTTTTCTTGAAATCAATAAACATTATTTTACAATTTTACCTACTTCAAAAATTAGCCTGTCCACAGAGAATTTTGGTTGTTTCTTTCTTAAACTTTGATAAACATAAAAGCACATTTGTTTAAATTTTGTAAGAACAAAAAAGTGTTCAAACCCTACTTGTCTTACCTGACACTACTCATATGAATAGCCATCGTCATATTTTATTGGACCCGCTTGTATAAAATTTTGGGTCCGTCACTGCTGGAAGAGAAATAAACAGTGCAAGATGAAGTTTCACAAGGTTACTCCGATGCCTGCGAACGCGATGACAAATTTACCTTAAGTCTCCACAGCAATGCTCGACCAATTAGTAAGTGAGAGAAATTAATTTACAAATTCTGTGATATATTTATTGACGTTTTATAAACATAAGTTGTAAGTAAATGTTTATCCAAATTCAATTCATGGACCCAATACATGATGTGATGACACTAAAAAAGCGTGCTATGATTTTTCTCGATGTGGGAGGGAGGGGGGGGGGGGGGGGGTTAACTTTTGTGATCAAGTATATGGTCCAAAAATAATTTATTGGGGCGACTTAACGATATTTGTGGCCTAAAGCCGAATTTTGACGAAAGATTTTAATTTTTTTAAATATGTATACATTTAATTAAGTCTATTTTTCTAGCTTCAAAGTTATATATTTTTTGTATTATTGTTTTCCCAATTGATAATATAGGTAATCAATTTGAGAACCGCCTACATTATAAAATAAAAACTTTTGTTGCTTCAAATACTTGATGCAATACTTGAAATTTCAAAGAGAAACAAAAAAGAATCACAATTTACTTTATTTTTAATTTGGTTCTTGACTTTTTGTTTTTTTGCTTTTATAAAGGCAGTAAAAATTTCAAGTGGCTCTTGTCTATTCTTGTTTTGGCAGGAAAGGAGCTAATTTGCTTTTACGCGTTTTAGTATGATGAGAAAGCCAAAAAGATAAACAAAGTGAAAACTCGGGTCACTTGTCAAAATAGTAGAAAAAGAAATTCGCTTTCATACCGCAAAATTGTCACGACCTGAATTTTCCACCGTCGGGATCGTGATGGCGCCTAACATCGCACTCGCTAGGCAAGCCAACGTTAGAGTTCTATTCACCTTTTTTCTTCTTCACATTTTATAAGTTAAAATATAACAAAAACTAAACCAAATTGAAATAAAGGTGGAAGTACTTAATAAACAGGCTATCTATATACTATTAATAACACCGAAGCTATTACCACCCAGAAACTGGTGTCACAATCCACGAACATAATATGAATAACTACAAATACTGGTCTGAAAGAAGTACATATGTTTCAAAAGAAAAGAAAACAGGGAAATAGAAACATAGGAGGGGACGCCAGGGCCTTCGGACGCCAGCAGAACTACCTTGGGTCTCCTAGACGATGTATCTGCAACCGACCTCTCAATCAACCACTACCAGCTCTGAAATATGCACAGAAAGTGCAGAGTGCAGTATCAGTACAACCGACACCATGTATTGGTAAGTGCCGAGCCTAACCTCGACGAGGCTACGGCGGGATACTTACAAAATAACCTGCATACGATATATATACACACACACACACACATTGAAAATTAGAGAGTCCGATTTTATGGTCATTATGACACTTCATAAGCCCGTCCCCAGAAGGCTTAAGGCTCGGGGCAGTGCAAATCGGTGGCTATGATGGAAAGTTCCCAAGGCACGTGGTTAAAGCTGACCAAGTCTACTAGGCTAGTACAAGCCCGTACCGTGACATTAAATGGATATACCAGCCGTATATCTTTATAATAAATGCGTCTGTACCTTGTTGGGATTCCCCCTCATATATAAGGGGGATCCTTATCATTTTATGACACATGATATTCAATACTAGAACAAGAACATTCTCTGCTCTCCAACTTAAACATATTCTCCCTTGATTTTATTGCTTACATTCATTACATTGCTTACATTTATCGCATTTTATTGATTGTTCTTCATTTATTACTCATCATTGATCATAAAGAGCGATCATTAAAGCTTTTAGAACTATTAGTCCTTCAACGGCTACATACAGTCCAACGCTTTAGCTTGACCTCGAGGTCCCGTATAGGCTAGTTCTAGACCCCGACTCTCGGCCACTCGGTTTTTTTGTCACGCTATCTTCAACTCTTATCTTATTTTCTAGTCTCACACTTAACATCTACTGCCTAAAAACTAGCATAAAAATAAATCACATATTTTTAGAACCACAAAATCAAATCTAATTGTAATTGCCATTTTCAAGGTAAACAGTTTGGCACCCACCGTGGGGCTAAAAATAATAGTGATTGTTTTCGTGCTGGTTTACCAAATAACGCAAGTTATCCTTCATGCTTTTTCTTGTCTAAGAATCTTTGATTTCAGGTCAAAATGTCTAACTCAGTGAATGCACATGAAGACAACGGTCCTGAGGACCACGGAGGGAATGGTGTAGTTGTTCCGGGTATCGATGTACCACTACGAAAACCTGAGGATGCACCAGAACCAATTCCCGTGGATGTGGTCTCACGCAATGTCACGACCCTAAACCCAGACCCAGTTGTGATGGCGCCTCTCGTGAAGACAAAGCCAGCCGACATAACTCCCAATTCATTTTAAACAGTCATAATAACACAGTTTAAGGCATTACATGCTAATAATCCCAAAATAGAAGTAAAATAGTACAATTTGCGGAAAAACGACCAACACAGCCCGACATCGGGGTGTCACCAGTCATGAGCATCTAACCTAAGTCTCGAAATGTGAAAAAGGGACTACACAATCTGTTACAGAATCCAGTACGAGGAAGAGAATTAGTGATAAGAGGGAGAAGCACTGGGCTGCAAATGCCGAGCAGCTACCCAGCGGACTCCGGAAATTTGGTGGAAGCTATCAACCCTCGCTAGCAGGACCTCAAGCGCCTGAATCTAAACACAAGGTGCAGGGAGTAAAGTGAGTACTCCAACTAATATGTAATAACAATAAATGAAGAATGAGCGATAAGAAATCATGAAGAATCACAACAGCATGCTATAAAGAGGCAACATAAAACCAATAAAGTGCAACAAAATAGTGAAATCTCATAAAACACCTTAGTTCAGAATAAGATTCTTTAAAATACCTTTTTAACAGTTAAACAAATAAAAGAAAGGCAACAAGAAGAGATAAACATATAAAATCCGCCCCTAGATCACAATGTCAACAGAATCAGCCCCTGGGGCAATAACATGGAACAACACCAGCCCCTCGGGCTCTATATCTCATATCACAATTTGTAACCGCGCTCACTGGGGTGTACAGACTCCGAGAGGGGCTCCTTACGGCCCAAGCGCAATATCAAGCCATCTCCTCGCATAATTAATAGGCTCTCGGCCTCATATAAAGCCACCTCGTGGCGTACATCTCAAGTCCTCGACCTCATAATCATAATCAGGACAATACCGCTGCGGCGTGCAGCCCGATCCATAATGATCCTCACAACACAGGCCATCGGCCCTACTCAGTCAGAAATCTCCAAAAGCCACTCGGGCACAGTAAAATATGATGCTCAACCCAAAATATCATTTAAAGTGTTAAAACAGAGTAAACATGGATGAGTTATGAAACAGTATAATATAACATGACCGAGTATAGATATAAAATCAAAACAGTGAGGAAATAGCAGTAAAATCCCCTAAGGGTCCAAACAGTTGGCACAAGGCCCAAACACGGCATTTAGCCCCAAACATAATTATACTTTCAAAGAATATAATAATATCAAATAGTTTCCAAGTAAATACGCGACTTAATAGTCGTACGGGGCAGACCAAGTCAAAATCCCCAACGGTGCACGACCTCACGCTCGTCACCTAGCATGTGTGTCACCTCAAAGTAGCACAACGATGTGTAATCCGAGGTTTCATACCCTCAGGACAACATTTAAAATCATTACTCACCTCGATCCGGTCAAAACTCTAGTCCGCGATGCCTTTGCCTCTCGAGTCGGCCTCCGAATGCTCCAAATCTAGCCAAAAGCAGATTCATACCATCAAAATATGCTAGGGGAACAAAGCCCACTCGAAAATATCCAATTTATACCAAAAATCCCGAAATTGACCAAAACCCGACCCCCGGGCCCACGTCTCGAAATTCGATAAAATTCACATCAATAGATTCCTCATCTCCCCACGAGTTCATACATATCAAAAGTCCCAAAATCCGACAACAAATGGCCCCTCAAATCCCTAAGTCAAGGTCTCCAATACCAAACCCTAGTTTTCCAAATTTTAACCCTT